TTTGAGAGTGACCAGGTTATATTTGAGCCATCCTGTCCTTTGATTCACATGTGTCAGCCAGCTAGTTTCCATGTTGCTGATCATTGTATCACCAGGGTGCTCAAAACTATCTGGACGTGAATCTTACCTCCATATGGCATCTATGGCTTGAATTAGAATGAAGTCTATTTTTCCTTTATTTAAATTCTATAAGTTCCAACATAGGCTAATATAAGTATTAGTATCGTACTTGGCTGTTTTTTACCTTCTTAAAGTTAGTTTTGTATTTATGGGAAACATGGAGAGTCAGTACTGAGTGGTCTAGTTCTGTTCTACCTACATGTATTATTTTATTTAATCTTTGCAGAAACATGTGAACATTCTACATAACTAAGCTTAGAAGGTGGAGTCATTCTTAACTAGTTTACGTAACTATCAAATGACCCATATTGTTTTATTCCAGAAGTCTGTGCTGTCTGGATGAGCATTTGCTCCAAGTTGACAAGAAGAAATTGTGACATGATCATACATTGTCTTTTCTTTTTTTTTATTTTATTGTGCATACAGAACTGGGGTACAGGCCAGAGGCTCAGGGGCGGCGAGAGGCTTCACCAGAGACAGAGTGGTGAGCAGAACAGGCAGATCAATGAAGTACACTGCTGAGGGGAACAGCGGGCGGGTCAGGAGAGGTCTGCCACGCCATGTGGTCACCTCATGCGGGGCAGGCGGGGATCGAACTCATGCGGAACTGGCTTTAACTTCTCAGTGCTGTGCTTTAACCCACTGTGCCACCAGGGAGGGCCCCATTGTCTTCTTTTTTTAAAGATTTATTTATTTATGCATACAGAACTGGGATACAGACCAGAGGTGTGGAGGGTGAGAGGACTCACTGGAGACAGAGTGAGGAGCAGAGTGGGCAGATTGATGAAATACACTGCTGAGGGGAGCAGCGGGAGGGTCAGGAGAGGTCTCTATGCCATGTGGGGCAGCTCCTGGGCCAGGGATTGATCCGGCACTACAGTGACTGCCGCTAGCTTGCAGTGCTGCACTTTAACCCACTGCGCCACCAGGGAGGGCCCTACATTGTCTTCCTTAAGAAATGCAGTCACCATGTTCTCTTCTTCTACAAGCCCCTTTGTACCCTGGACCTAATAAGCACCACCAGTAACAGTAACAGAACCTCTACCAGTAACAGGAAAGCAAGTAGTAGACATGATTGAGCCTAACCTCATCATTTAAGGCTTGAAATGACACCCTGCATTCCCATTTCATAGACAAGGAAGCTGAAATGAAGATAGAAAGTTAAACAACTTGCTCAAACTACAGTAAATTAAAATGACAGAGCTGGCTTAAGACCCCGGGAAGTTGGGGTGCCAACTGTTGTCCACTATACCAGATATTTCAATAGATATTTGTGTGATAGGGTTGAGTTCAAAACTAAGGAAGCCATTTCTGTTTTCATTAAACTGAAAAGAAATTTATTAGGGGGTGGTAGAATAAGAAGTCTGGACAATTTGGCTTGGAAACAAGCCTTACCATAAGAGACCAGGGAGCAGATGACACAGCCAGATTGTGCCATAGGAAGAGCTTGACGGTAGCTCCCCTGCTGGCATGGTCACTGGCCAGCGCAAGTGCCATGTTGTGGCTGGTGTTCACTGGGCCACTGGACGCTTAGATCTGCTGCCTTTGCTGCTGCTGTAGTATTAGCAACAACAGCTAATTGTTCTATTATCTTTGCACACACAGTAAAGTGAAGGATTCACTTGATGGAGGTCAGGCCACATTTTTGCTTTTATTTGTTTTTTGATTGCTGTAGTTTGGAGTAAATGTGTGTGTGTGTGTGTGTGTGTATAAATTACAGTGTGTACATTTTCCAAGTCTATCTCTTGCCTTTCCCAAAAATATTAAATTAGACAAGGGACTAGGTATATGCTACTTGTTCGAAGTCTAATATGTAGAGGGAGTGAGAAAGATAACAGAGAAGTGTGTCACTAGCTGATTGAGAAGAGAAAGAACTATTTTTCAGAAAGGAAATAGGGCATTTTTTGACTAATAGAAATATTTCATTAGAGAAGAAGTTGATGATGCAAGACAGAAAAATTATAGGAATGAAGTAAGTAAAAAGGGAATCAGATTTGTTCACAAGAGAGATGTTTGGCTTCTGGTGAGAGCAGAACAGCTTGCCTAATAGTGATAACAGACCGTAGTTTAGAAAGGCTTGGTTTGCTATGCTTTTTGATTGAATTCTTCTGTTACACACTGGACAGTATGATAACAGGAAGAAATGACAACTTTCACGGTGTTGAATTTTAAAGATCGGGATATTTGCTCAGAAAGTCTTGACCCAGTTATGTGGTGAAATAGGTCAGTAAAATGATTTGAGGAGTTGTCAGTTAAAGAATGAGAAGGTACCTCTTGCGTATTTGTTAAACCCAGCTACACTCCATGTGACCATTGGTTTGTTCTGCTTGGATCATGGATTAGAGCGTTACTTCCAGGTGGCTGATCATTGAGTCATAAAATAGATCTGGTTTTCTGGTTAATTTGAACTGTGGTTGAAGTAAGTCATTGGATATCAAAAAGCAGTGCTCTTTAGGCAAAGGTGGTAATTTTGTTTGTAAATATGATCAGGATCAATGTTTAAAGAATTTTGTCGCACAGGTTGGAGTGCATTTTGGCAAATGTTGTAATAAAGTATTTTCAAGCCTTATCTGATGACTACCTGATTGTAAGCATTAATCCATACAATAAAAATTTGGTGCAGTACAAGGCGCTGGGTCAGACCATGAAACAGGATTTACCTTTTATCACATAACCCTTAATAGAAACTCATTTTATTAGAAGTCCCGATTTATAACAACAATTAGATTTTTTGAGTGGCTACAACCTGCGGAGACAATGTGTAAAGCATATATATATATATTTTAATCTTTATAGTAACCCTATAGTATAATATTTTTATTGACACATTAAGGATAGAACTGACGCCAGGAAAAATAGTGAGTTTACACAGGAAGCAACAGAGTTGGACTTTAAATTTATTTGTCTCTCAAGCTTGCTTTTGGTGGCAGTACAATACAGTGGAAGAAAAAAAATTAATTAAGTCTCATAACTGAATTAACATTCTTGAATTTTTAGATTAGGAGATTTCTTTGTCACTTATTCTTAGAGATCAACTTTCTCTTTAGATGCTGTAACTCGAGAACTGTCTTTCCTTTCTATATTCATTCTGTAAGTGGAAAGAACATACATTGTTATTGCCACATGTTCTGTTACTGTTTGTTCCAGACTTGCCCTTCTTGTCACATTGGATGTAAGGGAAAGATGATTTCACAGTCCAGATAGGATTGCAAGTTAAGCCAGGGGGCGTGGTCCTTGTCATATCATCTCAAAAATATATATTTTAGGAATATGTGAAAATATTTTATCCTCCTTTGAACATCTTGGGGTCCCATCCCTTGATGTAAATTTGTCCAGCCATCTTATGATAGACTGTTTCATTTTATTCTGTTTTCTTTTTTGAGCTTTGAGTTAACTTGTGTTTTTCTAGGACTCTGAAGGCAAGTTTTGGGTTTGAACGGACTTTGCAGACATGAAACCAATTTTAATTTTGTGTAGATATTTTTGTAAACATATAAATTATAGAACTCATCTTAGCATTACAAAATGCTTACTCTAGTCCTAGCTCTTACTAAGAATGTTTCTTTGCTACTCAGTTTAGTCCCTGTATTTATAAAACTATATCTGTGAAACCAACACATGTACACACAAACAAGCACACAGAGAAAAGAAGAAGCCCTGATCTGAGTGTAATAATAATTCAACTTTAAGAAATAACTGACAGTTGAATGCAGGCTAATAGCCAAAATTTGTGAGTTAATGACAAAAGACTCTATTAACTGGTATTTCAAAAATTTAATATTCATTATACTGATTTTATCTACTCAAATTCTGTAACTGAGTATGAAATGCTTTCCCCTCCATTTACTTTATTGTGCATAGTTTTTCTTTTGGTGTTTATATTCCTGAACAAACTGAAGGTTAGGGGTACCCACTGCTCATGCAGTCCAAAACCCACATAGAAATTTTGACTACTCTAAAACTTAGTGGCTAAGAGCTTGCTGCCCCCCGAAATACTCAACGATAAAATAAGCAGTCGGTGCACACATATTTTGTATGCTGATTGTATTATAGACTTTATTCGAACAATAACATAAGCTAAAGAAAAAAAAATGTGCTTGAGAAAATAAGAAATGGACCCTTGATCCTCATCTTCACATCAGTGAGGAGGAGGAGGAAGAAAAGCAGTGTAAGTGTACAAGAAATACAACACAGGATGTTGAAGACTTAGCTGTGTGGATGCAGTATATGTCTACACTCATATACAAAGTCATTTAATCTGCTTTCAGGGTGCTTTATGGAGCCCCAGAAAGTCACATGTAGTGCTGGGGTCAGGGATGAGTGCAATGAAACTGCCCCTCTGAATCTCTCTGCACATACAGTCAACATGCCTGGATAGCCTTAACCCTTTTTACTCAGGTACGTAGAGGCATAGCTTGGTAGAGAGTGGAGGAAGCTCTTTCGTCTTTATTGTCATTAACTGAGATCTCTGAAGAAAGCTGCCTTCTATTCCAAGAGAAGTTACTAGATGTGAACAGAAGAATTTGTAGGAATTGGAGGATTTTCTTTCATCTGCATGTGTATGGTATTTTTTCCCTTATAAGTAACCCTCCCAGGTAAGGGCTTGCAATTTGCATGTCATGATTTTTTAAAATAAATCCTTGGCCTTGGACCCCGAAACAGGGCTCAGAAACAATTCCATGGTAGCAAAGGGAGCCTTCCTTGTAACAGGATGTGAATGGCACCGGAACGCTCCAGGCAATGTTAAATTGGGGTGATTTTTAGAAAGTGACAAATGTTTTGTCTTCTAAATCTGAGATGGGTTCTACTAGCTCTAAACGGCTGCCAAGTTATGTTATCACTTGCCTACTTTGTAAATGCCTCAATTATTTCTTCCCCAGCCCTGTATGATGAGATCCGTCAGTTTCGCAAGGCCTGTGGGGAGGCTCATCTCAAAACCATCTTAGCAACAGGAGAACTTGGATCTCTGACTAATGTCTACAAAGCCAGTATGATAGCAATGATGGCAGGTAAGTGTTTGATAGTCAAATAATGATAGTGGTGAATTGACGTTGTAAGGGGAAAATAACTAAGCAGATACATTTGGCTATTAGCTACAAGTGCTAACCATTTGGGTTTTTTTAATAGGTGGATCCAGATACTTTGTGAAAACATGTACTGAGTGAAATGGTCAAAAATCCTTGGCTCTCTTCCACCTTTTTGGGATGTGGGGGCAGTGGCATTTTATTGCTGCGCTTTCCTTGGGAGGCAGTAGGTGGCGCCCTTGTAATGAATTGCCTTCTGTGGTATTCTTTGATTATTCATTCATCAACATATGTCAGACAGGAATTTCTTTAACGCTGACTTACTGCACTCTGTGAATTTAAGCATTTGCTTTTTCTCAGAGATGTGAGGCAGCCTGTGCTTTTGTTTGTGTTCTTTTTTTCTTTTCAAATTTAATATAGCATCATGGTTTTATACTTTCAAATATAGGTTGATATATTCTTAGTCTCCATGACCAGCAGGCTTATCCATTGAGCGGTCCAAGCTCGAGATCTGGGAATTCTCTGAGTCCTTCTTTTTCTCATTTGTGTGTACATGAGCGAACAAGTTTAAGAGCTTTACCTTTCGGCTCTATCCCATGCCTCCTCTCTCCACGCTGAGTGTTGCTATCTTGGGCCACTGTCATTCCCCACTTCAAGAGGCTCCTGACTAGTTTCCCTGTCTCTAATTTTGTCCCCTTCCAATCTGTTCCCTAAACCATTCCCAGAATGATTGCTAAAAAATGCTAATTTCATTGTGATACTACATGCTTCAAGTCCTTCCTTTGCTTCCCATGTCTGCAAGGTAAAATGTAAATTCCTACAGCCTGATTTTTTTTAAAAAGTCCTTCCCTGAGCCCCGTCCCTGCCTCCATTACCTCCTCATTTCCCTTCCCACCATATGCTCCAGTTGCATGGAATGACTTGCAGTTCTCTGCAGATGGCACCGTCTGACCCTTCTGAGTCCTTGTATGTGTTGTGACTCTCCCCAGGATGCCTTTGGCCCAAATAAACACATCATAGGTTTGGGTCTAGCATAGGAGTCAATCTTTGCAAGGTTGTTTCCCCTTTTCTTTTTTCTCACCTACCCTTGGCTCATTCTCTCCTCTGTGTGTTCCCCATGAATGCTTCTTTCAAATACTTTGTCACAGGTTACTAGGATTGTGTATTACATTTCTAGTCATTCCCCCAGCACCCCCTGCAAGGCCCCTACGTTTAGGTGAAGATACATGTCGTCTCAGGTCTTCCATCTGAGCTTCTGTTGTAGATTTTTATGCTCTGGTATACCTTTTGAATACTCTGTCAGAATAGCCTCAGTGCCTGGCATTCTATTACAAAGGCGTTTATGACTGCCTTGCTCTGGTCACTGTGGCTGTATCTGGAAGGTCTCTGTCCTTGTTGTCTCACTTAGAGAGCATTTGCTCAGAAAATTGAAGACTAAAGGGCAGTGGAGCATTTTCAATAGTGCTCACCAGTTATGTTGATTTTTTCAGAGGCACATAGTATTGGACACACTTTGACTTTTGGAACTTGGATAAAATCCCCTTGGAGTCTTAGGTAGACAGCCGCCTCTCTTTTTTTGTGCTTCTTGCCTGAACCAGGGGTTATTAGTCCAAAAACTATAACCCAGGTGACAGTGAAGGTGTATTCATTCAGAAGGATCAACCAACCACTCACTGTAGATTCCATTGTATTTGGAAACCTCTTGTTCACCCTCCACCCACATGGCCACAGAAAAAGATGGGGCTGGATTCCTATGCTACTCTGTTTGCTCGCACCTGCTTGAGTCCCTTTCCATATTATTTATCTCCTTCATGTCTTCATTGATACAAATGTCTATTGAGAACTTATGAAAAAGTAGAACTTGTGTTCATGGTTACTATCTCTTCATCTTCAAATGAGCTCTGTCATTGAACGACTTTAAGATTAAATTCCTTTTGCCTGTGGTCACAAAGCTAAGGAAAGGATCACAAGTCATCATTTCAACCCAACTGTTTGTTGCTTGTTGCTTTTGCAGTTACAACACAGCTGTCTTCCAAAGCATCTGGTTAGATTTTCTCATGAAATAAAGGCAACAAACAGTTGGAATATGTAAAAGTGGATGGAATATGTAAAAGTGGATGGAATATGTAAAAGTGGATGGAATATGTAAAAGTGTATAGAACACTTACTGGCCCATCATTTATGCTTCCTTTACTCTTATGAAGGGATGTAGGAGATATAAGGTAGTTCTTAAATCTTACATCTAGGATTAGCTCACATGGCTTCCTATTCTTATGGTATTTTTTTATTCATTTTTTTTTCTACTTAAAAATCAACATCATTGCTGTAAGTTTACATTCTATCAAGGTCAGGTGTTAAGTGTACAATGTGATTAAAGTCTTGACAGTCTACATATTTCATTGTAGACTATAATACCCAGTGTCCACATATACAATGCCCAGTGTCTGTTGCACTCAGTTCCACTTGTCTCACCTTCTGCCCCGAGTGCAGCTGTTCATCTGATTTTAATACTGTAGCTTAGCTTTGCCAGTTCTAGAATATCAAATAATTACTGTGTAGATTTTGTGTTGTCCTCCTCCACCACCTATATTCTAGCTGTGAGATCTAGTCATGTCGTTCTGTGTGTAAAGACTTTGCTTAGTTATTCCATTGCACAGATATACTAAGTTGCTCAGTTTACTTACATACTTAGTGTATTTTTTTATTTGTCTGATGTCTATAGGGTCTATAGTTATATCTCCTTTTTTCATTTTTGATATTTGTCATTTTTGTTTTCTATTGTTATTGTTTTGTTCACCCTTCCCTTCCAATTCTCTCTTGCTCCTCCCCCTTTTAATTTCCCTTCCACTGTCGCCTTGTTTTAGCAAAAGAATCTTGCTAGAGGTATGTGCCAGTTGTTTTAATCTTTTCAATATTTGTTCACTCATCATTCAATTAAAACACCTTGTAATATCTCTTGTTATTAAGAATGAAATGTGGAAGTTCCAAATATGTTTTGCTTTTCTGGAAGTGTTGTTGTTAACTTATAATTAAAGTACTGTTGTATTTAGAACATATATATTGTAAGAATCTTCTATATTTTGGAATTAATGATATTTATTTTATAGCCCATTTTATATGCTGTATTTAAGTAAATGCTTCAAGTGCACTTAAAAAGAATGTTGTATATTTGCACATTGTGTATTTGATCATATCCTGTAAATGTCAACTGGATAACTTGGTTGGTAGATTTTTTCAGATCTGGCTTTGCTTTAGTTCACATGCTTATTACTGAGAAGGGTCTTCAAGTCCCTGGTTATGAATTTGCCTCTTTTTCCCTTGGTTCTTTCAGTTTTTTCCTAATATGTATTTGAGCCCTGTTAGGAGTATTACTACATACACTTTTTTTTTAAAGATTTATTTATTTATTCATATAGAACTGGGGTACAGGCCAGAGATGTGGAGGGTGAGAGGATTCACCAGAGACAGAGTGGGGAGCAGAACAAGCAGATCGACGAAGTACACTGCTGAGGGGAGCAGCGGGCGGGTCAGGAGATGTCTGCCACGCCATGTGGTCACCTCCGGGGCAGGCGGGAATCGAACTCATGAGGAAGTGGCTTTTAGATTCTCAGTGCGGTGCTTTAACCCGCTGAGCCACCAGGGAGGGCCCACTACATACACTTTTAAGATTGTTTGATTAGCACATTCATGTGACATGTCTCTCTATGCCTGGAATTTCTCTTTGTCTGAATGTCCATCTGAAAATAATCTAAATGCACCAGCTTTCTTTTGCTTATTACCATTTACATAGTTTTTCTTTCCTCATCCTTATATTTTCATTTATAGACAGTTATTTTTAAAAAATTACTATAATAATCTCTGCCTTTTAATTTAACTGTTTTGTCCATTTACATTTTATACACTTGTAACAGGAATAAGTCATCTTTTAATTTGTTTCCTATTTGTTCTGATCTGAGTTTTTGTTCTTTTTTACTTGCTGCCTTTTGGGTTCATTGAATATTTTGTAACCTTTCATTTATTTTTATTTGCTTTTTATCTGATATCTCTTTGCATCTTTTTTTTTTTCAAAGTATTTTATTTATTTTGCATAGAAAAACTGGGGTGTCAACCAGCTCTATGGAGGATGAGAAGATTCACCAGAGACAGAGTAGGGGGCAGAGCAGGGTGATTTACTGAAATACACTGCTGAAGAGAGCAGTGAACAAAAACAGCGCCATGTGGGTCAGCTCCCTGGCCAGAGATTGAACTCAGGCCTTAGCTGTGCTCGTACTGAGACTTAATACCTAGGCCTCCATGGAGACACCCCTTTGCATCTTTTAAGGGGTTGCCTTCTTAATTATGTATTTAACTTAACATGGTCTACTTAGAATTAATATCATTGCACTTCATATGTCACAAATGTAAGAATTTTGCAACAGTTTCATTTCCATCATCAGTTCTTTGAATTATTTTAATTTTCTCCTGTGAGCTCTTATAAACTTTTTCTTACAATAATGCAAATTTTGTTTCAACAGATTTTAAAGACATTTTTTAAAAAAACCTAAATGAAGCTATTTTATGTTTTCCCACACATACATTGTTTCCATTTATATTCCTTCCTGTCAGTCTACTGGCGATTAATTTTCTCAGGTTTTGTTCATATGCAAGTGTTTTATTTCACCCTCTTGTTTCAAGTATACTGTGCTGAATATGGAATTCTGGTTGACAGTTTATTTCACCAGTTTAAACATGTCATTCCATTTCTTCCTGTTTTCCTCTAAGTAATGTTTCAGCTTATTCCGGTTGAGATCAGTCAGTATTATATTTTCATCCACAAATTTGACAGTGATGCACATAAGTATGGTTTTCCTTGTATTTGTTCTGCTTGTAGTTTGGAGGATCTATAGTTGGTGTTTCTTACCAATTTAAGGCATTTTAAAAATTATTGTTTTCATTTTCTGTCCCATTCTCTCTCTTTTATCCCCATAGGGCCCTAATCAAAGACA